AAATGATAAGTGTTTCATACTTTGAGTGGAGAATCACTTATGGGCTGTCATGTGTCACATTGGCTATTGGCAGGACATGTCACATACAACACTTCTGTAGATGCCTGGACTCTCTCTTTTAGCCTGCAAATTACCAAAACCATAACAGGTTCAAGTTTTTAAGGTCATCTATAAGAAGAAGTGTTTTTCTTCTTGACGCTCACTTTGAAAATACAAAAAATCGAAAATTAAAATATAAATACAGCATAAGATAAGAAATGTCATACAGTGCAAATTTAAAAAATGTCTACAATACATAATATGTCGTTGACATATGGGTAAATGCTAAAGTGCAACATTATATCATACTTTTTAATGTACATAGTATGTCAGGCATATTTTTGCTATGTTAGCTTGGCTTGCACACTAATGTAGTTTAACAGCCTTTAAAACTGTTAAATTAATGTGAGTATAATATGAGTGTATATAAGCATTGCGTTCACTAAGGAGTTTTAAGGACAGCCAAATTAATTTTAAACACAGTACACCAATACACCTAATTGAAAGTATACACATTTTTAACATTGTATCCTTGTTCAAGCTCCTAAGTGTCAAAAGCAAGACAAAGCTGTCCAGAGTAGTTCAGACTGGCAGTACAATTACAGGCTTCAAACAAACTTAACTGTCCTATCACCATGGCAAAGAAGCTCAATGCAAAACTGCAAAGTTTTGACGACCACAGCCACCCTTAAATCCCTTTCAGCTACTGCCCTCAGCCCCCTGGGCAAAGAAACACATCGATAGGAAATCGTTTGTCCCTGTTGCCAAAAGTATCTTATCAGTACAACCACTTTTTGAGGCCAGTCTGCTACCTTTATTTCTTTCTTTCTTTCTTAACCCTCACCATCGAATACTTGGTACTACTTTTAATGTAGCCTCTGTTTGTGTTTTTATGTAAATGTGTGTTAATGCCTCTGTCTAGATGTGATGTTGTGTTTTAATGTACATTTTTTAATAGCAGATTTCTGCATATGCAAGCAAAGGCAAAGTATTTTCTATTCTATTCGGATATATTTAGCCTTCACACCTGTTGTTATGTATGTGTGAGGGTGTTTAGTTTGCTGCTTTTATGTGCGTTGTGTGCATGTACTTAGCTGATGCTTTCATGCAGAGCAACTTGCAAATAATGAGAATATGCAATTTAGATATGTTGCTTGGGACAAACGTCTGTCTCACAATGACTGTCACAGCCCATAAACCTGTGACCAAAACGCTCTGGTTAACTACTAAATCAATAACTACGCTGTGTGCTCCTTCAGGCCGTGTGTGTCTTTCTCAAGACATCTCCCACAGCTCTGTCTCTTGGTTTTTATTATGCTGGGGGGGCATTTTATATCTTATATAAATGTTGTGTTTTTCCCGACAGGAGCGTGGTCCAGAATTCCTCAAAATTCACACGTGATGATGGGTCATAATTTTAAGTTGGCCAGTCTGTCAATTATGCCCGGTACTTGGGGCTTCTGCCAGCGCATCGCTCCCCTAATCAATAGAGCACCTAGCTTGCCTTTTTAATATGTTTGATAAAGATAAAGGTTAAATCAGAGCGTCTGTGATAGTATTTCTGCTAAATGATGCCATTTGAAAGCAAAGGCTCATTTTTCATAATCCTGGAGAAGTCAATTAAGGGACTTGTGGAGCTCAGGGAGGCCCAAGGAGACATTGAGGTGCAATGCTAGAAAAGAGACACAAGTGAGTTTTGGCCACAAGAGGAAGAGAAACAAGCAGTGTCTCAATGGAAACACAACAGGGAAATGTAAGAGGCAGCATCTAAAAGCAGAAAACAAAAGATTGGGTTTACAAATGTCAGACACACTGACAGCAACACGGGTTTTCATCAGCCAGCTGCTTTCACAGCCTTTGACAGGCAACAGCAACAAAAGCCAAAATACCCGAATTGCTTGTGGGTAAAAGAAAACTATTGTCTCACTTTGTGTGGCTCCATCCTCTCTCCAGAGAGCTACAATACCATGTCCCGCACTGACAACGAGCCAGAGGAAGAAACTGGAATTGAACTCCTGCTGAAAGGCTGTTAATAAACAGTTAGTGCTGTGCCTGTGAACAGTAGGAAATGTATGCATCATTACCTTATCGCTCTCTGACAAGAAAACACAACCACCTCTTTTGTCCCATGCTTGCTGGGGAAGTTGAGTGTATTTGCTTACACCGAGGCCTCATCGTAAAATAGAGAAGTGTTTTCTCCTTAATAACATCCCTCTGTGTGAACGAAATGGCTCCTCTTTTTGTATTAATTTCCACATCAGATACAACTGGATCCAATCAGGTTGGTGCCTCCTCTAGATTCTCTTTGTCTCTGACATGAATTCAACTTCAACAGGTGACGATTTGCTTTGGTTCACTCGAATATTTAAATGGTTCATCCTTGCATACAGATTTGGTTGCGGAATTAAAAGGGTAACTTATCTTTTTTGTTTAATTTAAGGATTTCCTCCAAACGTGTAAGATATATATGCATATGCAGTCTGCTTGGAACGATAATGTGTGTCTGTTGTGTTTTTTCTGACCAAAAGTAGAATTTACTTATTAGAAATCTTTAAAAAAGGCATCTACTCCTTTTACCTCAAGAAAATTCCACAATATATGAATATGCAAATGTTTGTTTTTGTTTTCCTGCTGAACAAAAGATCTCTCCTCCTTCACTGTAAAGTCCATTCTCAGTGTATGTGCACTGGTGGCTTCTACATCACACTGTACAGTTGCATACTGGTCTAGGATTGACCAAACTATCTGTGATGTCAAAAATGATGCTCCTAGGCCCCGCCCCTTAAAAATCTAATTTTTACTGAGCACAGGGAAACTTTCCACTTTCAGCAGAGGAATGTGAAAACATCCTTCTAGTGTCAAACTCTGCACAGACATCATTCTGCACAGCACAACTATAGGAAAAATAAAAACATATTTTTGAGTGGAGGGGGACTCTGGAATAATGCCACAACAATGGCTGTTTGCTCACTGCAGCCATTCCAAATTCATTATAAAGTTTCACTGAAAAACAATAGGTTTTATACAAACAGCTCGGAGTGTTTGGCTGACGACCATTTGAAGCAACTCAACAACCTTTCCATGGGACCATTTCTTCTTCATTTCCAAACAAACAAACAAACACACCCAGGATGAAATATATCAATAATAACTCTGTTTACTCTTTTGGCAGGTTTACATTGTTCATTTATGTGCAGAATTAGCCTTATTCTGTGTTACTTTCTGTGTTATATTTTTGAGATTTTGGCATTATCGCCCTGCACAGAGAACACAGAGGACAGACGCTGGAGGAGAGGAGGAAGCTGTGTCAGTAAACTTTTCTTTCACTGCAGAATTTGTGATGAACACATGTGACAGCTCCTCTAAAACCCGCCAGATCGCCAGGAACCAACAGCAGATTAATTTTACATCCCTGCAGGCCTGGTTTGAAAATGCTGTGCGGTAATTTGAGGCACACCCAAGCTAACACAAGCCAATCTGATCTTATGCAGGGCAACATTCATTTCCAGCAGCTTTTTCTCATTTGTGAATTTGATTCTTGACAAAAGTCCTGGCTTAGGTCAGAAGTTCCTGCCAGCTTGAATGGCACCAGTTCAAAGGATCATGAACGGAACAAGTTTGTAGACGAGGTAAAATTAATATTTTAGTTCACACACACACAGCCCCTGATACTAATTGGAACCAGACTGAAGACTTCAACAGTCTGTTGCATGCAGAATCGCCCCAGAGACCTCAGCTCTTCTCGCCAGCAACAGAGCATGAGCTCATCTCCAGCTGGGCCACCAGGGGGAGGGGCCTATACATGCAGGCACCTAATAGAGGGTTCAAAAACAGTGATGTCATGCCTATAGGCCAATGTATGTTTATCCTGATCTTTATCAAAAAATAGACAGAAGTAGGAAAAGCTTCCCAGAATGCAGGTGTGCTATGAGAGATCCCTCTGCTCTTGCCTTGGGACAAGTGAGAAAACATTTTCATGCTGCCAAAATCTCACAGCAAATGAGTTCAGGCCACACCAGAGCGTGATGTAATCTGCTCCTTAAAGGCACAGTGACTGATCCAAATGTAAACAAAACACACTGCTCAAGACAGGAACACGTCCATCAATCTAAAAATCATGTCAGTAATATTGGTAAACAGGAGTAAACCAAGGTGTCAGTCAGCTATATATTGGGAAATACAGTATGTTTGTGGTTTTAGAATAAAAGACTAACTACAGATTTCTGTGATGCCATCCCGGGCTCTGGAGCTTTGCCAAGTCAGAAAAAACAGCCCTGATGATGTGTGATTACTCATACTAGGGACAAAAAGTCAGGAACTCTCGACCTCTGCTGCATTGATTTGTTTCTTCCAACTCTATGGAAAAACAATATTAAGTCAAATACTCAATCAAGGAAGAATCCAACCTCAAACAGTAGCAAAAAAAACACTGAACCTAAGTATAGATGGGTGTTATGGGTAAGTGTCGGTTGCAAAGGAGCCAACAAAGAACCTTAATCATTATACAAGTTATACAGAAACGTCTATGAGTGAACACTCAGTTGTATGACTGCAGCCTGTAGAGGCACAACTCCAGCTTCATATATTACAGACCTTACATCATGTTCTTGTTATTTCTATTGCAGCTGCAAAATGTGTTTCACAGTCACTTTGAAAGGACTCCAACTTAAGCCAGACACACATTTGGACAGTAAAACATTACTATTGTGTTGGCTCTGTACTCAAAAACACTTGATGTGAGAGTAACTACGAGGTAAAAGCACATACTTTTAGCTTTGGGAGTGTCTGAGGAGTGTGTGCACAGTGTAGGATATACACCTACCGCTGAGCAATGGCGGCAGGTTGCCCTCACTGAAAGGCTCTGATGGAAATGTAGGCCATAAAAAACAAACATCACAAATTAACTCTGGAATCACACTGATATCAAACTATCCTTCATTAGCTTAATAACAACAGCAGTGTTATTCTTAAAAGTTTTATTTTTATAAGGTGCTGGAAATAGTCACATTTGCACTTTTTTCTTTCCACAGAACAAGGACATGTATAACCCAAAGCCCAGGAAACCACAGAGTGTGTGCTGTGGAACCGAAGAACATGACCTTCAACAATATATACAGATAAAATAGTCACAGTGTGGAAGAGAGGGAGGCTGAACGCACTGCACTGGGCAATTAAGGCAACACGTCAAAAGGTAAAAGACAACCTTTTCTGTACAAGGAGAGTAAAAAATAAAATAAAAAGCACCAGGAAAAACATTATAGAGCCTCTTCGAATCCCCAGAGGAAAACACATTAAAACACTTCTTATAGCTGCTGTGCAGAGACAATGACACAAAGAGAAGAAAAAAATGGTCTGAAAGTGACAGATGTTTTTCATTTGCCTTAGTGCGTTTCTTCATATTTATCTCCCTCCAGATCTGGAGCTGTTTTTTTTGTCACAGCTCCAGTTTTATTAGTCAAGGAATCCAAGAAAATCGTAACTTCCTTTTCCTTTTCCCTTCAGATTTTTGTTTTTGTCAGTAAACCCTCAGTTGGCGCAGAGACACCTGCTGGTGCTTTGGAGGAGGAGCAGCTTGGCAATCACGCAACATAATCTTCATCTCTGTAGAATCAAATAATCTCCCTCAGTGTGCCTCAGCAGGGGTTTAAAAATCACCACAAAACATCTTGTTTCAGTGAAACTAAGTGTTAACTCCGTTAGTGTTGAGACATTTCCAATAAATACTGGCAGGCTACAGAGGAAAACAATTTTTAAAAAACTGTAAAAAACAAATGAACATTATTTAGTTAGATTAAAATGCTCCCAGAAATTGACACAATTAACCATAAATAGGCTGAACAACTTCTGAAATGTGAAGGTTGAAACAATTCAGATGACTCAGCTTCTTTTACATGAACAGTTCATTGGTGGGGGAACACAAGCGCAGGTTTATCCAGTCCCGGCCCACGTCTCTGGCCAGCATCCAATCACAAATCTGGTGGATCATTTTTGCATAATATTCGTCTTGAGAGGGCAATAAAACATAATATATAAGTACCTGCCATGACAGTCAGTATCACAGGTCACTTAACAGTGTCGGGCCAGTTAAGCCTCCCCAGCCGGGGGTTTGGAGCAGCACTAAAACATTGAGAGGTCACTCATTTAGCCCCGACTCAGCACAGTCAGGCCTGCTGATTGGCCGATGAAGCTGTCCTGTTATCACTCTCTACTTCCTTGTTAGTGGGTTGGGGGGGCCGACACCCTGAGGCTGATCCAGAGTCGGCGCAGAATCCGGCTTGTAAGCTTTGAGTCAACGTCGAGTTACTTGAGACACTGTCAAAGAAGGCGAACCGAGCTGCCACAGGGGGCGACACAGAACTTTAAATATTATATAATCTGTAAACAACAACTATTAACAGTCCATCGTGCCGTGCCTGGTTAAGAGAATTAAACCGTTCACAGGTTTGTTTACAAACAAAAAGACAAATAAAAACAGGTAATGAACAGTCCTATGGCATCGTGTCACTTATAAGAGTAAACATTGGTGTAGAGTCACTTCTTGGTTCTCTCGGCAGCCATACAACAGAAATCCATCACCACTGTATACCAATATATACATTTACATCTTAAAATCCTAAAAGAGTGTGGGCTTTCCACTTTCCCTTCCTCTCCCTTTTCTCCTCTTGGTTGTGCAAGAATAACGATTCAGTCCTTTATCATGAAGTTGTTTTTGTTCCCGGCGGTGTCACACAGAGACAAAGACGTCCAGGTAGAGGCGGTCGTACGACTCCCTGAAGAAGAGGATGAGGACCAGGCTGAAGAGACAGGAGCCGGTGAGACACCAGTTCAACCACGACAGGTCTGCATAAAGGAGAAGGAGAGAGAAACAGACACATTTGAGTTAGGCTGTAAGCGATTTGGCTGTTCAGCGCGTATCCAGAACATGATACACTGGGTGGCTCAGATAGACGATTCACTGTCCAGCTCAAAGACACTTGAGGGGGTAAAAACTGACTCTACATTTGTTTGATTTACATTCAGCTCCTTTCCTTTTGTAGTGTAAACGGACATAAAATACAATCAAATAAATTATACAGCAGATGAAATCATTGAGGACGCATGCACACTGGCTGTTGCAGATACTATCGCCTAGAAAACAAGACAAGGTCAAAGTCTAGAATATGGTTGGACTGTGTATGGTCAGAGTGATAAACTGGTCAAAGTGTTTCGCCTCATATCTTAAAAACTTTGATTTAAAAGAGAACTCATATGTGGCAGGAACAGAAGTCTTTAGTCTTCAGATAATAATATTCAAGACTATAGATAGATGGATTTAGCATGAGCAGCAGTCAGTGAGTGGAACCATAATTGAGGACCGTTTGAGCCTCTTGAGCAGTGGCCAATGGGGAGACTCCAACACTGGACCGACTGATGGTGGACCTTGGAGTTTATAGGGCTGGTCCATCTGTTCTGCGGTCCAGCAAACAGGAAATGACCACTGACTTGAACCCTGCCTAAGCACTATGCAGCAGACCACAACATATGAGCATGTGTCCCTTCATAATCATAATAAAATATGAGTCATCTGCATAGATTCAGAACCCTAATGAGAGTTAGTATGAAGTGACATTGAATAATTTATGAGTATCATTGAGGATACGTGGCTAATCAATAAACATTCCTGACATACCATATTAGAAATAAGAACAGCCTCCTGAGCTGTCTTTCATAATGATTCTGAATAATTCAATGGTATTGGCAGTGTTCCCCATTATCATTGACCTACACTTGAACCTAAACATAGTGCAGAATGAGGTGTTCTATTTTCTCTGCTCTGTTCAGGCTCCATTAACCACAAGAGAGGTACTCTGGCTGTTTGCAATAATGCTGAATCTGGAGGGCAGGTGGGAAGCTTGCAACTGCACTGAACCGTTGGCATCTTAACCCATCAGCACAGACAAATAACCTCTTCTTCCTGTTACTCTGTGAAGCACACGCTCGAGATTTTCACCATGAACGCGCGGTCACACCTTGACTCAAGTCCTGACAAAACCCAAATCAATAAACTTCCTTCTTTTAAATGCATCAAGTAGCCCTCCTTGTGAAGCTGGTCCATCACAGCTCCATGTAGGTGTTTGAGGTGTTTTGTCCGGAGAGCGCCGTTAAGCAAAATCTGCGCTGAGCTGCGTGGCGCGGCGAGGCGAGGGCCAACTTCTCAGGCAGGATAGAGGATGCGGTGGCAGCAGGCAGCTGCTCGGGCCCTGATAACGAGCCAGACTAAATATAGAGAAATCAGGTCGTAACGCGCTGCGGAGCCCTGGGGGCCCTGCCAGCACAATGTGTCTCAACTCACACTGACCGGCTCCACTTCGATTCCAATCAGCTTTTCATAATGTCGTCAATCAGCCATCTTGGCCTAGAGAGTATCTGATCAATGCCTGAAAAGGGCCGGTGCCTGGACTGCACGGCGCTGCCTCTTTGTGGTAAATTATGAGTTTTGGCTGTAAGGGGCTAACCTTTGTGTGCTCAATGTTACGCCGCTTCCACAACGACAAAGAACGTGGGGTAAGAGGTGTGAGGATGAAAGCAACGGAAACACTGAGGCAGAGGCGGGAGGTGGAGAGGGGGCTAGTGAGGGGAGGGAGTTGAGAGATTGGGTGAGGGTGTTTGCAGCGAGGTGTCGAGACTCCTGAAGCAGCCTCATTAATCAGGAGTGTGTGAGCCGGACAGCAGGAGACCCGGCGTGGAGGCGGGTTAATGGAGTTGTGTTTATCAGACCTGCTGTCTTCTCCGTCTAACTCTGTCTCGCTTTCTCACATGTACATCCGACAAAGACTCGTCCATTTAAAGTTAGAGACAAACAGTCTGTGTGTGTGTGTTCGTGGTGGGTGGTTGTGGGTGTGGTGGTGTGTGGGTGTGTGTGTGTGTGTGTGTGTTTGGGCCTGCAACCTTGAACGAATGGTAATGGGGAGCTCGGTAATTGTATAATTCAATCAGGTGATGTGGTAAAAATGGACAAGCAGCTCAATCGCTCCCCTCTGATCTCTGAGGACACGCTGTAGCTAAGTTTGGAGGAAACACAGTTAAAGTTTGGCTGAATGGAGGAGAACTGAGGAGGAGGGGGAGCGGGAGAGGGGATGAAGGGAGAAGATTAGAGCAAACGAGATAAAAGGAAGGAGAGAAGAGAGGAGTCGCTTTGCTCCTTAGTTTACTGGTTTGCTTTAAAGTTGATTATCAGATTTTAATGATCACCGTTTAAAGGGCAGATATATTTTGCTCGAGCTTCCTATAATACAGCGTGCAGCCACAGATTCTTGTTCTAAACTCCAGGCTAAGAACTAAAGGTGACTACTGGCTTTGAAGCAGCAGAGA